GCTAATCAGCTGTTTATGTTATCTGGTCAACATTGTAAATTAACTGTACCGCAATAAAAATGAATAAAATAGTTAGGACTAAATTTAACAAAAGAGATACCAAGCAAAAACTCCAAAATCCACAAAACATTGTTGAGCAAAATTAAAGATCTAATTACATGGTATAACCTCCCATGTACGTACATTGGAAGACAATATTTTGAGATGGCAATACTCCTCCAAATGATCCACAGATTGAGTGCAACCTCTGTCAGAATCCCAACTGACTTCTTTATAGAAATTAAACTGTTTCAAAAATTCAAATAGAATTGCAAGGTATCCAGAATAACCAAAACAATGAAAGCAAAAATCAAGTAGGAGGACTCAACATTTCCTTATTTCAAAACTTTCTGCTGAACAATGGTAATGAAGGTAGTGTGGTAATGACACAGGGATGGACATATAAATCGTTGGAATAGAATGAGATTTCATAAATAAACCCATCCGTCTGTGGTCAACTGGTTTTCAAACACAATGCCAAGAATGGGAAAAGAATATTATTCTTAAAAGTTGGCACTGTGACGAGTGGATAGCCACATGCAAAAAGAATGAAGTGGATGTTTACATCACACCACATACAGTAATTTACCAAAATGGATCAAAGACCTAAACATAAGAGGTTAAACCTTAATACTCTTAGACAAAATGTAGGGACTTCCCTGGAGGTCCAGTGGTTAAGACTCTGCACTTACACTGCAGGGGGCACAGGTTCAATTCTTGGTCCTTGAACTAAGATCCTCGCATGACCAGTGGCACGGCCAAAATATATATGTATATGGAGGAAAATATTCATGACCTTGGATTTGGCACAAAATTATTCAAGATGACACCAAAAAAAAAAAAAAGACAACTTGAATTTAATCAAAATTATTAACTTTTGTACTTAAGAGTATACTATCAAAAAGGTGAAAACACACATTGGGACCCAAGTTTACTATTGTGGGAATACAGAATGGTGCAGCCACTTTATTTATTTATTTTTAATTTATTTATTTACTTACTTATTTTTGGCTGCGTTGGGCCTTCCTTGCTGTTTGCGGGCTTTCTTTAGTTGCAGCGAGCAGGGGCTACTCTTCGTTGCGGTGTGTGGTCTTCACATTGTGGTGGCTTCTCTTGTTGTGGAGCCCGGGCTCTAGGCACGCAGGTTTCAGTAGTTATGGCACTCGGGTTCAGTAGTTCTGGCGCATGGGCTTAGTTGCTCCGCAGCATGTGGGATCTTCCCAGACCAGGGCTCGAACCCGTGTGCCCTGCATTGGCAGGTGGATTCTTAACCACTGTGCCACCAGCGAAGCCCGGTGCAGCCACTTTAGAAAACAGTATGGCATGGGAATTCCCTGGCGGTCCAGTGGTTAGGACTCCGAGCTTTCACTGCTCAGGGCCTGGTTCTATCCCTGGTTGAAGGACTAAGATCCTGCAAGCTGGGCGATGCGACCAAAACACACACACGCGTGCACACACACATACACACACACAAAACCCCCACAAAAACAAACAAACAAAAAAAACAGTATAGCAGTTCCTCAAAAATTATATTCAAAGTTACCATGTGATCCAGCAATACTGTTTCTGGGTATGTATTCCCAGGACTAAGATATTTCTACACCCATGTTCACAGGAATGTTATTTATGAGCCAAAAGGTGGTAGCAACTCATGTGTCCATCAAAAATGAATGGATAACAAAATTTAGTATATACATAGAATGGAATTTTATTCAGATTTAGAAAGAAAGGAAATTCTAACATATGCTGTAACATGGGTGAAACGAGAACATCATGCTAAGTGAAATAAGCCAGTCAAAAATGGACAACTACTATATGAATCCACTTGTATGAAGTACTTAGAATAGTGAAATTCATAGAGACAGAAAGTAGAATGGTGGTTGGTAGGGCCTGGGGGAAAGGGAAGTGGGAGATGTTGTTTAATATGTTTAGATTTTCAGTTTTGAAAGATGAAAACACTTCTGAGATTGATTTCCCAATGTCAGTGTACTTCTCACTACTGAACTGGACATTTAAGATGTAAACTTCATAGTATGTGTTAAAAGTTAAAATTTTAAAGCAAGAGAGGGAAAACACAGCCCACAGAATGGAAGAAAGTTTTGCAAATAAAATATCTAAGGGATTTGTATTGAAGGTATATAAAGAACACTAATAACTCAATAAGAAGTCAACTAACCCAATTTTAAAATATGAAAGAATGTAAATAGACATTTTTAAAGGAAAATGTACAAATGGTCAAGAACACATTAAAAGATGCTTGCACTAGCCATCAGAGAAATTCAAATAAAAACCCCAATGAGAGGGACTTCCCTGGTGGTGCAGTGGTTAAGACTCCATGCTCCCAATGCAGTGGGCTGGGGTTCAATCCCTGGTCAGGGAACTAGATCCCACATGCATGCCACAACTAAGGAGCCCATCTGCCACAGATAAGAGCCGGTGTAACCAAATAAATAAATACATTTTTTAAAATGAGATACCACTTCACAACCACTAGGATAGCTAGAGTTAAAAAAGTGAGATAATAAAAGTTTTGTGGATGATATGGGAAAATTGGAACCCTCAACCACTGCCGGTGGGAATATAAAATGGTGCAACAACTTTGGAAAACAAATCTGGCAATTCCTCGGAAATTAAACCTAGAATTACCATAGGACCCATCAATTCATTCCTAGGTATATGCCCAATAGAAATAAAAATATGTCCAAACAAAAACTTGTACACGAAAGTTTATTGCAACGTTATTCATAATAGCCAAAAGGTGGAAACAAACTAAATGTCCATTAAGAAATGAGTAAATAAAGAAAATGTGTTTTATGCATACAGTGGAATATTATTCAGCCATAAAGATGAATGAGCTATCCATACATGCTACCACATAGAAGTTCCTTGAAAAAGTTATGCTAAGCAACTGAAGTTAATTACAAAGACAATACTTCATATGATTCCATTCGTATATAACTCCAGAACAGGGAAATCTATAGAAACAGAAAGATTTACAACTCTGGCTTGGAGGAGGAAATGGGAAGATAAAGAAGTGATATCTAAAGGGTACCGGGGTTTCTTTTAGAGGTGATAAAAATGTTCAAAAATTGTGCTGATTGAACATATCTGTGAATGTACTGAAAAACATTGACTTGTACATATTAAAGGGATGCAGTGTATGGTATGTGTATTTTACCTCAATAAAACTATTCAGATAAATAAATGCATTAGAAGTTTTGAACCAATGTGTTAAGAATATTAAAAGTTTTCAAGTATATCCCACATTTCCAAAACTTATTGTGTTTTTTAATATATAATGTTCAATGTCAATTATACCTCGTTTGTTTTTGTTTTTGTTTTTGTTTTTGTTTTGCAGTACCTGGCCTCTCACTGTTGTGGCCTCTCCCGTTGCGGAGCACAGGCTCCGAACGCGCAGGCTCAGCGGCCATGGCTCACGGGACCAGCCGCTCCGCGGCATGTGGGATCTTCCCAGTCCGGGACACGAACCCGTGTTCCCTGCATCGGCAGGCGGACTCTCAACCACTGTGCCACCAGGGAAGCCCCTGGTTTTTTGTTGTTTTTTTAAAATTTATTTTTGGCTGCATTGGGTCTTCTTTGCTGCCCGCGGCCTTTCTCTAGTTGCAGCACACGGGCTTCTCACTGCGGTGTCTTCTCTCGTTGCAGAGCACGCGCTCTAGGCGCTAGGTCTTCACTAGTTGTGACAGGTAGTCTTCAGTAGTTGTGGTGCAGGGCCTTAGTTGCTCCGCAGCACCAGGGATCGAACCCGTGTCCCCTGCATTGGCAGGTGGATTCTTAACCACTGTGCCACCAGGGAAGTCCCCAAAACTTATTGTTTTTTGTTATATTGGTAAAAATAGTAACTAGGGGTTTCCCTAGTTGCACGCAGCAACGAAGACCCAATGCAGCCAAAAATAAATAAATTTATAAAAAAGAAAAGTAACTGGATTGCCTTAGGGATATCATAGCCGTTTACATTTCAAAATTTCTAGGCACACACTCTGAAACTAAAATAAATTTACTTCTAGCGTAAAATGTATACCTGAGAGTATTGTTGAACACATCTCGCAAATTATGATTGGTGGGAGAAGAGTCCCTGTTCCCAGGCAAGGGCTGCAGGGTTCAAACTTCCCACCAGAGTCAAGTGCTTGGGAGGCCAGGGGATTCTCTAGCTAAAATACCACATGTGTGGAGAGGGAAAAGTGACGGCCTCAACGCTATCAACAAAGATAAAAATGGAGCCAGACTCTATTACACATGGTGAGGTCATTTTTCAGAGTGTTTGTAAACAAGGGTCACAGTATCCTGAGTGGCCTCACAGCCCGTGCCAAGTATTACCCCGTGGAGGACCGCAAACCCTCTTTCCCCAGTTGGCCTGACCAGGGCGCCCCTCTTGCTTTGGATAAGGACGTCGGTTGTTCCGGAATCTTACTCTGGAATTACCTGAGCACACCTGTGTCCCCACATTCTGAAAGATATGAGGAAGATGCCACTGTCCCTCTAGGGCCAGTGACAAGTGTGGTTTAAACGCAAACGTCGCTGGGGCTTCCCTGGTGGCGCAGTGGTTGAGAGTCCGCCTGCTGATGCAGGGGACGCGGGTTCGTGCCCCGGTCCGGGAAGATCCCACATGCTGCGGAGCGGCTGGGCGCGTGAGCCATGGCCGCTGAGCCTGCGCGTCTGGAGCCTGTGCTCCGCAACGGGAGAGGCCACAACTGTGAGAGTCCCGCGTACCGAAAAAAAAAAAAAAAGGCAAACGTGGCTGGAAGGGACAAGCTCCTGCCGCCTGTGGAAACTGGTGCTGCTCAATCATGTGACCTCCCGACCCGTTGTCACTCAGGAGAAAGGGGGGCGGGTGCTTGCTAACTGTCCAATCAGGGGCGCAGCAGGGGAAAGTGGGTGGGCCACGCTCTGCAAACTGCGTGGACGCTCGTGGCGTCTCGTGGAATCTCGTCTGCGTTTACTTGCCTCAGGTGTGTCTGCTGCAGCGTAAATACGTGCTGCAGGGGCCGCGGGAGTCTATGGGAAGACGCCGGAGGAGCCCAAAGCCGGGAAATGGTGAGTGTGCTAGGACAGGGAGGAGGGACAGTCTGAACCGGCCGTGGCGGGACGTGGGCCTCCCGGCGCGGTAAACTCAGGAGTCTGCGGACCCAAAATCGCAGGGGGCGCCGATTCAGACCTCATTCCCTCCGGCTGTCGCAGTGGCGGGGCTGGGTCGGCAGCCGGAACCTCGGGCGTCCTGCCCCGTCACTGCAGGCGGTGACTTAAGCCTGGAGCCTCACTGGGTAGCTCTGCGCCCACAGCCCCGCGACTCCTCTAGAATGTGTGGTGACCATGGGGAGGGTTATCAGGGGACAATCGTGATTCCGTCTCCGTGGTTCGTGCGTGGGAGGAGCTGTGGTCTGTGGGGTCCCAGTCCCTCATTTCTCCCCAGGGGGCACTCGTTTTCTCCCGAGTTTTCCAAATGTTTGGAGAGCAGGGTCTCAAATCCAGGATCCAGACTAATTTCCAGATTAGCTCTTCCTAAAACTGGCAATAAATCCCTAAATTTCCACATCCCTCCCTCGTTCCCACAGCCAACTTTCCGTCTTTAGTTCAGAGCATCATTATCAACTCTTTGTTCTCCCTGGTGTATTTCAAACAGACCCAGTATTTTAATTGTTTATCCTTTTTCTTTGTTTAAAAAAATTATTTATTTTTGGCTGTGTTGGGTCTTCATTGCTGCACGCGGGCTTTCTCTAGTTGCGGCGAGCAGGGGCTACTCTTCGTTGCGGCACACGGGCTTCTCATTGCAGTGGCTTCTCTTGTTGCGGAGCATGGGCTCTAGGCGCATGGGCTTCAGTAGTTGTGGCTCACAGGCTCAGTAGTTGTCACTCGCCGGCTCTAGAGCACAGGCTCAGTAGTTGTGGCGCATGGGCTTAGTTGCTCCGCTGCATGTGGGATCTTCCCGGACCAGGGCTCGAACTTGTGTCCGCTGCATTGGCAGGAGGATTCTTAACCGCTGCGCCACTAGGGAAGTCCCTATTCTTTTTCTAAAGAGTCATGGGTGGCTCTTTTTTAAGGATTTATACTTGCTGTGGATATTTTCCATGAGAGGAAATCTGAGAATAACCACCAGGAACTGAAACGAACCACCTGGAACTGAAACCGTGTAACTCAGATTGGGGCTTGAACCCACGGTCTTTTAACTGAGATCTCACACCTGGTCTCAGGACTTAATGAAGCTCAGGTCCTTGATGTCTCATCGCAGAAAGAATTCAGTGAGAGACAAAGCGATAGGTAAGAAGTAGACACACTCTACAGACAGAGTGTGGGCCATCTCAGAAGGTGAGAGTGGCACCAGGGTGTGGGGTTGGCCATTTTTATAGGGGTGGATAATTTCATAGGCTAATGAGTGGGAGGGGTATTCCAGCTATTTTGGAGAAAGGGTGGGGATTTCCAGGAATTGGGCCACCGCCCACTTTTTGACCTTTATGCTTGGCCTTGGAACTGTCATGGCACCTGTGAGTGTGTTACAATGAGTGTATACTGAGGCTCAAGGTCTAGTGGAAGTCAACTTGTCCGCCATCTTGGACCTATTCTGTTCTAATCAGTTTATGTCATGTCCTCAGGCTATGTCATTCTTTTAAATGTTGTGCTGTGTCCCCGTCGCTCCTGTTTCAGAACTACATTGTATGAAATCCTTGTGCCTCTCTCCTCGAGGATCTTTCTTGGTCACAGACATCCTATGGGTAGTCCTTTGGGTAGAGTTTCTTCTTTGGAAACGTTCCTGGGTGTTCTCTCCTGTCAGCACTTCCCCTCCCTGGGTTTGTCACCCTGGAAAGATTTTTTCATGTATGTGAGCCTCAGTTATTCAAAAAATTAAAATTTATGTAAGCAGTGGAGCTTGAACGATAGCATTTTCCAAAGAGGCAAGAAATAGGTGAGTTTCAGAAAAAAGAAAATATTTTTGTATTACATTGCATTAAAAATTCTTGTTTCTTTTTTCTTCCCTCCCTGAGCAGGTGTAGTAATATCCTGAGGTCTGTTCTTTTTGTTTTGGGTTTTTTTTGGGGGGGGCGGGGGGTTGTTCAAATGCAATTCCAGGGCTTAGGCTTGAGGTGTTCAAGTACAGTTTTTTAAAAATTTTTATTGAAATATAGTTGATTTACAGTGTGTTAGTTTCAGATATACAGTCAAGCGATTCAGTCATATATATACATATATGTGTATATTTATATGTGAATATATGTATGTATACTTTTTAGATGCTTTTCCATTACAGGTTATTGATACTGAGTATAGTTCCCTGTGCTATACAGTAGGTCCTTGTTAGTTATCTGTTTTATATATAGTAGTGTGTATATTTTAATCCCAAACTCCTAATGTACCCCCCCATTATGTTTTTATAAAACAATTTCTTGCTGTGGAAATAATAATTAATTAATATCATTATTTTCTGAGAGTAATAGATACTTATGCATTTTCTTGTTGAACTAGAAAAAAGCCTTACAATTTTTCCCTCCTTTCTACATAAACACTAGGTTTGTGTGATTTTGCTGGATTCTTCAGCCACTGGGGTCATTTAAAATAGCATCGTGTGGTCCAAAGCAATGTGACTGGGAGTGGAGGCCTGAGGTCAGTGACTCAAGGTGAGGCCCCCTTGAGGCTGCAAAGGGAAGTACTTGAAGGCCCAGCTGGTTCTTCCTGGAGAGCCCAGCAGGTGTCCTACCTGCTCACACCCACCATGGAAGGAGCCTTTAAGCTGAGAGAAGCTATAGAGCCCTGGAAAGCTGGGGATAACAACTGCACATGGCAGAAAGGGTTTGGGGGGAGATGGGATGGTGATGCCCCTTTTGAGGTTGTAACCGCGGGTCTGTTTCTAGGTATAGGCTGGAGTTGTTGGGGTTTTTTTAATATAAATTTATTTATTTATTTTTGGCTGAGTTGGGTCTTTGTTGCTGCGTGTGGTCTTTCTCTAGTTGCTGCAGTGGGGGGCTACTCTTCGTTGTGGTGCACGGGCTTCTCATTACACTGGCTTCTCTTGTTGTGGAGCACGGGCTCTAGGCATGCGGGCTTCAGTAGTTGTGGCTTGCGGGCTCTAGAGTGCAGGCTCAGTAGTTGTGGTGCATGGGCTTAGTTGCTCCACAGCATGTGGGATCTTCCCGGTCCAGGGCTCAAACCCTTGTCCCCTGTATTGGCAGGTGGATTCTTAACCACTGCGCCACCAGGGAAGCCCTAGGTTGGAGTTTTGCATCCACAGTGTAGCTGCGCTCAGAGTGTAATGTTTACATTGAGAAAGCCTGTGACAGGAGTTCTGTGTCCTGGGTTAGGGGTCATGAATTTAGGAGTTCTTTTGGGTCAGAATCTTAAATTAAATTCTGCTGAGAGTTTTCTCACTGTGGGAATGGAAGCCTGGAAAAGGGAGTGGTTCCATTATTCCCCAGGGAGAGGAGGGCATGTGGTGCTCCCAGAGTCCATCCCTGTGGCTGCTCAGGTGCCCCCACCCTCCTTCACCAGGGACTGACCTGGTCCAGCGGATCAGTCTCAACCAGGAGAGCCTAGTGTGTGTTAAACTTTCAAACAGGCTCCTTCTGTCCTGTGGGGCGCTGGCTGCTTATCTGTGCTGATTCCAATATTTGTGTCTCTTTCCTCTGGATTCTTTTATCCATTGAATAGTGCAGCCCTTTGGCTGTAGTTTCCCTTAGCACTTTGTAATTAATTCCCTGTGTGGGAAATAACATTTTTAGTTTCTTGGGCTTAAAGAAAAATCTAAGTTGATTGAGAGATATGATGTCGGTAAGGCAAGAAAATTGTGGAACTAAATAGAATTTTTGTTCCTTTTAGGGAAGAGAACCTCAAGATGTGAGAGGAATGTGTTTACATTTTCAGGTACGTGCTTCATTTTACATCAGTGTTTGTGCATGTCCTTAGAGAATATTGAAATTTAAAAGGCAGGGAACTCCTGGCAGTCCAGTGGTTAGGACTTGTGGCTTTCACTGCTGGTTCAATCCCTGGTCGAGGAACTAAGATCCTGCAAGCCGTGCAGCACAGCCAAAAAAAAAAAAAAGCTAAAGCAATTGATGTGAGGACAGCTAATCAAAGCTTACATACATCTTTGAAAATTCTACTGCATTTAAAGAACTAAACACAAACCCCTGTTGCATTATAATGTTATACTGATTTCTGAAAATACCACCCTCCCCCATGTGAGATACAGGGAAGGGACAAACTAGATACACCTTGTCATTTTAGTTAGCAAGGGATTTGAAAATTATGGTTTATACTTTTGTAACCATTAGTGTTCAAAGGAATTAGATCTTAACAATAGTTTCCTATGTACAAAAGTTAAAATTAAAGAAAGACTATTAAATAGTAACACAGGGTGTATATACTTTGCTTATTTTCAAGAAACCTGTGAGATACAAAAGCCTGACTTAAGCAGAGTTACTGCCCACCTATCCTGGTCCCCTCCAGCATTGTTACTCCAGCCACTGCAAATACACAGTTTTAATCATTTCTTGAGCTTCCTGTTAATGTTTCTTTATATAAAAACAAGCCATTGTGAATTCATATTTTTCATACCCAAGTTTGTCCTTATAATGAGTAGTCAGACTCCACATTTTTGAAACTTGATTAAAGTATAGTTGGTATACAATGTTGTGTTAATTTTTGCTGTACAGCAAAGTGATTCAGTTATACATATATACATTCTTTTTCATATTCTTTTCCGTTATGGTTTATCACAGGGTATTGAATATAGTTCCCTGTGTTACACAGTAGGACCCTGTTGTTTATCCATTCTATATATCACAGTTTGCATCTGCTCATCCCACATTCCCAGTCCTTCCCTCCCCCAGCCCCCCTCCCCCTTGGCAACCACAAGTCTGTTATCTGTGTTTGTACAGACTCCACGTTTTTTGATGTTTACCGACAGCTTACGCCTCCCTTCTCTCTTCCCCTTGTGTTCATGCCCGGAAAAGCCAATAACAAAGTCTGTAGTCCTCTGGCATTAGTTTCACATTCCAGCCACACAAGCCCCTGTCTGTGTGCAGAACTCTTATCCTGGCCCAACCCCTGACAAAGATTCTTTGCTTGACCAGAGAATCATTGGTTCTGACCCTAAACCTTCTCCTGGGCCTATCTGTGTAGTTCCTCGTGAAATCCAGTTTTACCAGAAACCCTGCTGCTTCAGTTAAACCAGAATTCCCCAGCTCCCCATGTCTGATTGCTTTCTGTAACTGATTGGGTTCCTACACTCCCACCATTGCTCAGGTGATGTGTGATCACCCTGGCCTGACTTCAGTAAGAATCCTGTTAGGTCAGTTTATCTAGACCCACTAATCCCTGGTTTTTCTTTTAGTAATTTTCCATCCACTGACGCCCCCCACCTTGCTCTCTGGCCATGAATTCCCACTTCCACATGCTGTATTCAGAGTTGAGCCTAGTCTCATTTCTCCCTGCCTGTGAAATCCCATTGCAGTAGTCTCTGTACCCATCCCAGGGGTTCTGGATAAAATCTGCTTTACCTCTTTGACAAGTGTCACTGAATATTTTTTCTTTAACGTCCCTAGCCATGATAAACATCCAGGCCAGGCTCCTTTCCTTGCTTTCTGAAGCCTTCTCAGAGCTGCTTGAGAGGCCAGCCCTGCCCTCCCCGCAAGAGCGCAATTACGTGGGTCATAGACCTTTTTTTTGGCCCCACCGGGTGGCATGCGGGATCCTAGTTCCCTGACCAGGGATCGAACCTATGCCCCCTGCATTGGGAGAGCAGAGTCTTAACCACTGGACCACCAAGGAAGTCCCGGTCATAGGCTTTTTCCTACCCTGAGTGTGTGTGTGTTTGCATGACACACCAGCATCAGTCTCAACATGGAAATCACACCTCTGCAGGTGGCAAGAACAGTTGGTGTGGTGAGCAGCATGGCCAGACATGACCACCACCCGTGGGTCTGTCTTCTCTTGCTCTGACTCGCTCACCTGCTGTGTTGTCTTATGGCAGCCGGGGCTGTGGGCTGCTAGGTGCCAGGGACTTCGTGCTGTGAGCTGTGCTGCCTGTGTTGCATTGTTGACCATACCAAGCCTCAGTTTCAGATTCAGCAGACTAGAGTTGGCAGTTTCAAGAATTCCTAGGCTTTGGGGAGCAGCAGTATGGGATTGGCGCCCTCCTTGTATTAGTCCTGGGTTGATATCTCTGCCAGGATTTATCTGTGTGTTAGAGTGAAGCTGTGACAGTGGCAGGCTTGGCCCTGACATACCCCAGTGAGGGTGAGAGAGAGAGACTATGCCCTGTGAAAGAGGTGGCTCCATTGAGTGTTGCTCTTGAGAGAACAGTCATTTAAAAAGACAGAAAAAGAGAAGAGAGGGGGAAAGGCAGCCAATAGATGGCAGGCTGAATCCGCCCTCCTTATACCAGGGTGCGCACCAGGACCCTTAAGTACCTCCGCTGCTGCCCCCGTCTCTACTGCAGCAAAGCTCCTGACCCTCAGAGTTACAGGGGGCAACACCCATGGCATCCTTGTGGCACAGCCAAGGGATTAGTTCAAACTGACCTAAACCTGGGGTCCTTAAACCCTATAAAGCAACCTGTTGTCCTGGAGGAGACCCCTATTCCTCATGGCACTAATGTGAGGCCCTCTGGAGGGAAAAATTTTATAAATACCAGGGTAGAGAGGTCACCCTCTCCCCCGAAGTATATACAGTGACTGAAAAACTAAAACAGGGAAGGACAGGAGAGAGGAAATAAGTGAAAAAATACTGAAACAAAGGTCCACAATTTAACCCAACTGGAAATCTAAAATACAGTAAAAGAATTTACACAACAGAAAAGATAAAGGGGCACTGTTTGGTTTCTGGGGCCTCTACAACATAGTTTCTGAATTAATTTTGTCATCTGCTATATTGCATTGATTCACAAACCTTCACGCAAATAATACTGGGTCTCGGGCTTCCCTGGTGGCGTAGTGGTTGAGAGTCCACCCGCCAATGCAGGGGACACATGTTCGTGCCCCCATCTGGGAAGATCCCACATGCCACGGAGCGGCTAGGCCCGTGAGCCATGGCCGCTGAGCCTGTGTGTCCGGAGCCCGTGCTCCGCCACGGGAGACGCCACAACAGTGAGAGGCCCGTGTATCGCAAATAATAATAATACTGGGTTTCAAGTTACAGTTATATTAGGATCCCACTAAACTTAAGCAAGGTAAGATAATCTTTAAGATTACCTAAGATGATCTAAGATTCCCAATAATCTTAGAGGAGTTACTGAATATAAAATAGGGGACAGTGCTCGCTCCGGCAGCACATATACTAAAATTGGAGTGATACAGAGACTAACATGGCCCCTGCGCAGGGATGACACGCAAATTCGTAAAGCTTTCCATATTAAAAAAAAATTATCAAAGCTATAAGACCCACTGATAGACAGTAAACTTTACTATGTTAATAAAAACTACATGTGCTATATCGCACATTTTAAAAATATTTTGATAACTATATTTCTACATAATTTGTTTCCTTTATAATTCTATGTATTTTTTGCAATAAAAAAATTATTCTAAAAATACAAATATAAAAAAATAAAATAAAATAGGAGACAAATAAGCATGTCTCACCTCAACCATCAGCCAACTTGCCTAAAGACCCCATGGTCATAGGATTCATTTGTCCTAAAGTATCATGTAGTGAACAGGAAAGCTCTGAACTAATGATTCACAAGTTAAAATTAAATAATTTTTTAAAATAAATTTATTTATTTTTGACTGCTTTGGGTCTTCGTTGCTGCACGTGGGCTTTCTCTAGTTGCAGCAAGTGGGGACTACTCTTCGTTGTGGTGTGCGGGCTTCTCATTGCAGTGGCTTCTCTCATTGTGGAGCACGGGCTCTAGGCACACGGGCTTTGGTAGTTGTGGCACACGGGCTCAGTAGTTGTGGCATGCTGGCTCAGTAGTTGTGGCTCACGGGCTCTAGAACGCAGGCTCGGTAGTTGTGTGCATGGGCTTGGTTGCTCCACGGCATGTGGGATCTTCCTGGACCAGGACTTGAACCCGTGTCCCCTGCATTGGCAGGCAGATTCTTAACCACTGTGCCACCAGGGAAGTCCTTAAATAATGTTTTTGCCAATTCCAAATTGGCTTGACAAAATGGGACCCCACAGATTTATCCCCCAGGTAAATAATATGTGCCAAAGTAAATTAAACAGGGCTTTGAAGGATTGAAAACCATTACAAAAAATTATTTCGTGAAGAGGTGATTACTTGCAGCGCTTCTCCTTTACACAGCTGAATTTGGCCTGTTCTAAAACATGAAAAGAAGGAATGGCACTTGGTACAACCACTATGGAAAACATTATGGAGGTTCCTTAAAAAACTAAAAGTAGAACTAACATATGATCCAGCAACCCCATTCCTGGGCATATATCTGGAGAAAATCATAATTTGAAAAGATACGTGCATCCCAGTGTTCATTGCAGCACTATTTACAGTAGCCAAGACATGGAAGCAATCTAAATGTCTATCAACAGAGGAATGGATAAAGATGTTGTACATATATACAACGGAATATTGCTCAGCCATAAAATAAGAATGAAATAATGCCATTTGCAGCAACATGGATGGACCTAGAGATTGTCATACTAAGTGAAGTAAGTCAGACAGAGAAAGACAAATGTCATAATTTTAAAAAATGATAAAAATGGAACCTAATTTTTTAAAAAATGATACATATGAACTTATTTACCAAACAGAAACAGACTTATGGATATTGAAAGCAAACTTATGTTTACCAAAGGGGAAACGTTGGGGAGAGGGATAAATCCGGAGCTTGGGATTTACATACACCTACTAGATGTAAGACAGATAACCAACAAGGACCTACTGTATAGCACAGGGAACTCTACTCAATATTGTGTGATAATCTATATGAGAAAAGAATCTGAAAAAGAATGAATATATCATATGTATAATTGAATCACCTTGCTATACACCTGAAACTAACACGACGTTGTAAATCAACTATACTCCAGTAAAATTTTTTAAAAAAAAGGAATGAATGACACCTCACAGTGAATTACCTTGAGTTTGTGGTCTCACCACACAAACCCCTGTACCCAGTCCCCAGCATTGTGGAAATTACTCTGTCCAATCAGCACCTGGTAAATATCCTGCTCTCACAGATTTGGTTAAGTCTGTTGTGTTCAGTGCCTGTTTCAACAGTCTCTCACCTTCAGTTGGCCTTCACCTCTTAAGGGTTGTGATGCACTTTTACCTGGTTAACCTTGGGGAACCTGAACACCATTGTCACTGCACACAGTCTCTGCAGGCAGGATGTGAGCTGTATCGACCTTGCTCTGGGAGCACAGGTATGACATTACATTAATGACATTCTCCTCTGAGGAAGTTCATTTGGGGACATACAAATACTGAAAAAAGGAGCTCCTGGAAAGTGGATGGATCATTAGCCCATCCATAAATAAGGCCCTGACACTGGTTAAATTCTTAAAAATTACATGGTAAACAAGGGGCTGTTCCCTCCCTGACACCATGAAGAAATAGCTGTTGTCCCTCTTAGCACTCACAGCATCTCCTAGGTTGTTTTGGTGTTTGGAAGGCAACATATTCTTTCCTTACAAACTTTACTTCTATGCAAGGAACTCACCTCCTTGGCCCACACTTTATGCCATTAGAGCTGTAATTACCACCAGGTACTGGGCTCTCCTGAAAACAGAGGATCTCCCAGGACCTGAGTATGTGACCCTCCACCCAGCTGTCCATTGTGCCTTCAGTCCTGAAAACAGCCCCCCATGAGCTCAGCACGGCTACTGAGACCTTCCTGAGACATGACGGAGTACAACCTGAGCCTTCTGGCATAGCCTGTCTGCAGGAGGGGGCACCCTCCCCCTCAGTCCCTTTCTAGATGCCACAGTTCTGGAAGAGGTCTCTTCACCATTCACTATGTTACCTATAGGCTTGTCATGTATGGTTTTTATTATGTTGAGGTATATTCATTCTATACCTAAGTTGTTTAGAGTTTTTATCACGAAAGGATGTTACATTTTGTCAGATGCTTTTTCTGCGTCTGTTGAAGTGATCATATAATTTTTTTCCTTTATTAATTTGGTGTAACACATTTATTGATTTGCATATGTGGAACCATCCTTGCATCCCAGGGATAAATCTAACTTGATCATGTTGTATAAGCCTTCTAATGTGCTGTGAATTTGGTTTCTTGTATTTTGTAGAGGATTTTTACATCTATGTTCATCAGGGGTATTGGCTTGTTATTTTCTATTCTTGTAGTGTCCTTGTCTGGCTTTGGTATCGGTGATGCTGGCCTCATAAAATGAGTTTGGAAGTGTTCCGTTCTCTCCAAGTTGCTGCAAGAGTTTGAGAAGAATTGGTATTAATTCTTCTTTAAATCTTTGGTAGAATTCAGCAGTGAAGCCATCTGGTCCTGGACTTTTCTTTGTTGGGAGGCTTTTGATTACTGATTCAACCACCTTACTCCTTATTTAGCGGTTCA